CTCATACTTGATTCTTGTAAAGAACGAAAGGTCGGTGACCTAAAGTACGCTTCCTCAAACGTTTTGCGCCGGTAGCCCCGCTGCACTTGGTAGCACTTGTAGTCAATCTACACCTAAGTCGTTTAGACTGATTCTCTGTGAGGATAAAGGAATTTTCCTCTGATGTCCCAGGGCATGCAGGACGATCTTAACAAGCTGATGTCCTTGCTTGGCCCTGAGAGCGTGCAACATCTTGTAGCACAAGGCCCCGAGGCAATCGGTGCGCGTTTTCGAGTTACGAAAATGCGCCGCTAGAGCACCTGTGCAGAAGATGTCTGCATCGAATGCGTCTATGACGCCACCGTCGGTGACGGATGACCTCCCCCGACCAAAGTCGCTCATGGTGAGCGTTAAGGTCTTTAAGAAGAAGGATGGAGAGAATCTCCTGCTCTGGGTGAGAGTGGTCGAGATGGCCATCGCATCCGCCAAGACCGAGCAACAGCGCGTGGCGCTAGCCATCTCAAAGCTCGGTGGTCGAGCGCGAGAATGGGCATTGACGTGCGGCTCATCGGTCGGAGCTGAAATTGCAGCTCTCTCGAGTGTACTCACCGCCTAATCAGGCGTATCGCGTGCGATCGCGTTTCCTTGGCTCCCGACAGGGCAACAGGGAATTGGTGGACTTTGTCCAAGAGTTGCGCACTCTCATTGCCGGGGTGGAGAGGCGGTGAATGTGACATTATATGCCGAATACAATTTCAAGTCGGCACGACTTCGTTGGAATGCACACTTCAACAGCTCGTCGAGCGGGCCTATGCCCATGGATCTCAGCTCTGCTGAGGACGAGGGAGCAGAGCTTCGAGCTGCCGAGCAGCACGCAAACACACGACGGTGTTTTGTCTGTGGAGACACCCGTCACCTTTGGAACAGTTGCCCCCTGCACAAGGCGCGTCAAGGTTCTTCAAACCACCGCCCCAATGCCTACCAGTCTGGTTCGTGCGGGGAAACGACAACACGCAGTAGGCGCGGGGTGACCTACTGGGGAAGAGCTGAGTTTTGTTGAGCCTCAGGAAGTCATCAGGAGCGAGGCCCTCGTGATGCATGGGAAGTGGCACGTTAACCACTGGGCGCTGCTCGAGTATAAAAACAGTCGCTGCATGTCATGCGTGACATGGTCGTCCAAAGGCTGAGGCATCGAGGGCATGCCCCTCGTGATGCACGTGAAGTGGCACGTAAACCACTGAGCACTGCTCTTGTTGCGAAGCAGTCGCTGTATGCCATTGATGGCGTAGTTGGACAGAGTCCGAGGCATCTTGGGCACGGCTCTTCAGATGCGCGTTGAGTAGCATGTTATCCACTGGACGAAGACTGCGGGGTTAGCAGCTCTTCGTCGGATATTTTAGATAACATCAGAGCTCCAGAGGAGCAAACAGTGAGGGTGACACCGGACGACGGCGAAC